GGGGGGGGGTGGGGGTGGGGGCGTTAAAGGGCAGACGTGCAGGTATTCGAGGCAGACGATGATGCATAGGAAGACGAGCGCATTTCGGTAGGACGGCAGGCATTGGTATCGGTGGAGCTTTGCAAAGGGACATGTCATAATGCGGGGGCGTGTTATGGGGGCGTCTTGCCTCAGAAGTGAATGAGACCTTTTCGTGTGGTTCATGAACCGTTGTCGTCTTGTGTGGCGACTTGTGGCTCGACAAACTTGTGGATATGTGCTCAGTCGCCCGTCAAAATACGCCGGAAGATATCCAGAGAGTACCTCAGTTTTTTATTGATTTCTTGTTGATTTCGCATCGTCAACGCACGTTCGACTTGCGTCTGCATCTGCGTAGGCCACAGACGTATAGAGCAATACGTACGGTCATCTTTGCGCTGATTGGTTTATCGTATTGCGTTCGCAGGATATCGATCAGATAGGTAATAATCACAAATAATCATTCGATGAAGCCTATCGACGCCCCGCACAAGTGGCCGTCATGGTTTCGAAGCAAGCAGCAATTTGCTGGCCAACGAGCTGTCGATGCTGAAAGGCATGGATTAAACTGGTACCAGGCTGGTCGAAGCCTGGGATGGCAAAGATCATGCTCTCAAGCTGGTCGGCGAGGTGACGAACGCTTTTGAGAACATGGCAATACTCAGCAATGCTCGCCAGGCTTCGCCAGGCTTCGCCAGGCTCCGCCAGACTTAGACATACAAAACACAAGCAGACAAGACAGCGACTCAAGCCAGTCACTGCAGACACAAACCTGCATCATGTGCATATGCTGGTTGACAATAGAGACACGTAGCGAAAGAGAGACACGTTAAGCTTTCGTCTGCATCCATCAAACAAACAGTCATGTGTGACTCAATAGGTAACACGCAATACGACACATTGAAAACCAGAGGGGGGGGAGGAAGACACGATGCCGATTCGCGTGGTGGCGTTCACTCCCCGCGCTCCGCCAAAGCTCGCCGCCATCCTCTTCGATGGGCCTCGCCGTGAACGCGGCTCGACGAACGGTTACGAGGGGGGAGGGGCCCCCGAGTAATGGGAGGCGATCGGGAAGGGACACAAGGCAAAATGTCGCACCAAAGTCGAATGTACACACTAAACCAGTGATCGCGATTGGCCACGGGCTGAGCTTTCGGGTAGCTCGTGAAAGGGAGGATGCAAGGGCCACAACGATTTGACTGTGTTTTGCAAGATGCGGGGAGCGGATGAAGTCTATGACTCAGTCATTAGCGGTAGGACTGGTCCAGAAACCGAGAATCGACTGTTTTTGATGGGTGATTGCAGTCAATGCACATCGTGTGAAGTCAGATGTTCGGCCGGACAATGCAATGTCGCCCCCTCCCCCTTGAACGGGGGAGGGGGCTTCAAAAGACAAGCTTCAATGGATCAATGTTCATAGGTAGGAGACAATATGGCAGTTGCACTGGCACAAGTATATATTGCAGTTGGAAAGCCGTTTGATGACTCGTTGTGCTGGGGGGAGGGGAAGACAGACAAAGTGGGACCTTGCACGCACGAGTAATGCCAGAAAGCATGAATTCACCTCATGCTTACTCCTCGATCGCTCCGGGTCGCTTGCAAGCTGCAACAAGTGTTTGTCTTGAAAGCAGAGAAGGTCCGCGTAGAAGGATGACGGAGAAAAGAACACTCAATAGAATGGACGCGAAAGACACAGAAAGAGCCAAGAGAGCTATGCTCTTCATCATTCAGTCATACTTGATTCGACTCCTTTCGTGCCGTCAGCCCGTCGGCCCAGCCGACATGAAACGAACGCTTGCAGGGATATGAGATCCTTCGGGATTGTGTCGGGGGATATTCGTCGATTCGCGACTGGCTCCCCCTGTAGGGCTGGTCAGGCGGTAGTAAGCAGCCTCTCCGCACTAGGCAAACTTTAACCGGTTTGAGTGAAGGGTCAAATCGGGTGTATATACCAGGGGTCCATTCGACAAAGTCGAGAATCTCGACGTGCAGTGCTCCGGGGCGGTCTCCCAGATGGAGCGGTGTCTAGTGGTAGTGTGTGACCGCTTTGAGTTTGAACGACGGACACTACACAGACCTCCAGAGGGCCTGACTGGCCACACTGGAGCATGAAACAGCTTCACCAAGCAACATTGAACCAAAGATGCAACGGTCCAACACCAGTTCACTCACTTTCATCACCATTCTCACGATTCTGACTCGATCTTCCACACGTTTTCCTCCTTCCTTAACTCACTTGCCATTTGAGGGCAAACTACCCCCAATTGGCAGCTATCCTTACTTACGTTTCATGTAAACGGCTACCCTAGGCTGCTTCAATTCTGGAACATAGGAGAGATGCTGGCATCTCCCTCCCTTCATCAGCGCAGCGGTATATCATCAGCAACGAGGCGAAATGTCCTTCTACGTCATGTTTCTTCCTTGTGTTCACTTTCCGTGTGTCATTTCATGCCACCCTGTAGCATTCCCTCCCTTCACGTGCTGTGCTCCGAACAGCACCATTATCGGCTCAGGGTGTGGAAGGCGCATGAATATGACACATGATCCGTCTCACATCAACACATTCGCTGAGTGATGCACTTTGGCTACAGAAGGAGAAAACCCACAGACAGTGACAAAAACTCCTTCCTCCGCTTCGCCATCCGAATGGCCCAACCCACCAATGACCATCCGTTTGCGTATTGACGTCGCATGGATGCAGGACCGGCTGCTGTGGAGCGCATCTTCTTCTCAGGCGTGGGAGTCCTGACACCCTGACGAAGCTGTCATTCGTGTGTGTCATCACTCGTATCACAGCTACATGACGTTCGCAGCACCTCGCGAGTGTGCTTGCGGGCCTGGGATTCGTTATTGTCGAGCTGCTCTCCCGGCCGTTCGTAAACACTGTGTGCGGGCTTAGCTCGCCCTTCATTCCACCTTCTTGATGACATCAAAGAGCTACCTCTAGCCTCACAGAAACCCATTGTGGTCACTCTCTACCCCTCATCATGCAAAAACACGATGGCGACTTTGCTGATCAGGGAGGCGGTGAGAACACACACGCAGTCTTCTCCCCCTGCACCTTCTAGCATCATCGCATCGCCATTTCAACAACAACACAAAAGGTGAGCACCCCCATTCACATTCTCGTGAGATCTGTGCGCTGAAGTCGCCCTCTGCCTGTCTGTGTGTCGTTTCAGGGCTCTTCGGAGCTGGGATTCACGTTCGTCTTGTTGTTCGAGTGCCTACAAGCCTGTCTAGCGCAATGGCATCAAGGACAGAGCGTCCAAGCGATACAGCACCTAGAGGAGGTGATCAACGGGATGGCTGGGCGGCCGATATGCTACCGAGGCCAAGTAGCATCCCAGCAGCGGACGCGGCTCCAGCACCAAGACGAAGTGGTGTGAAATCGCGCGTCAGATCACCGACGACTCCCAAGGACTGCCACTCTTCTTCTCTTCCCTTCTTCCATCATGCTGACTGACATGGTTGGTACACCGAATCTCTCTCGTGGCCACAGCCGGACGGTGTTTATCCGACTGCACGTGTGGCTTGATGTGGCTGCCACCGTCATCCCCAGCTGAGCGTGCTCACTCTCACATGACACGTAAGCACATACACGTACACAAACACGTACACGGACATGAACACATACATAAACACGCATCCCTTTCCAGATACTGACGATCCAACAAGGGTGCGCACTCGCAACGTGCCCTGGCTCCACCGATACCCGTCTCTGACAAGGGCTCGGTCTTGCTTCAGGAGAACTCATGCGCCTCTCGCTTCGAATTCATTCTCTCTCTTGCTCTTCCTCTCTCTCAGTACACTTAAGTTCAGTGCGGATGCCCGGCTAGAGACGACCAGTCCTTGTCCCAGGCTCAGGGGTGCATCTGACTGATGACCATTCCCCTTGCAGGTAAGCAAGCGCGTCTCTTTCTCACCAGGTAAGTCCAGTGTGAATGGTGGCACCAGTAGCATAGAAGGAAGGGTACTATACCATCTTTCTGGTCACTGATCGCCCCCCATTCATCCCGTTCCCTTTTCCCCTTCTCGCTCAGGCCGCGTGACGTGTTGACGTGTCTAAAATTACACCATCAACGAGACGCGGTCAGGCGCATGCAACACACATACACATACACATACACATAGACATACATATACACAACACACCCCACACACATTTCATGCACACAGAGAGAAGGATGCTGTGGCTGCTGCTGTTGTCATCTCTCAGGTAGCGTTACAAGAGTGCTGGGAACTCGTCAGTCCACGCACTCTGATCGGTTGCTATGCTGTGCCGCCAGATGGAGCAGACACAGTTGGATCGTCACTCTCTCTCTCCCATTGGTAATTCCGAAGGAAGCTAGCCAAAGGAATCGTCTGCTTCCGTCCTACGAGACTCTCCTTCTTTTGTCTCTTTGTGCGCGTCGGTTCACTCAGGTATTGTATCTGTATGCCTTCCTTGTCCAACCTCGTCACCTTGACAGTGTGCTCGCGACTGAGCTCCTTTACATGGCGGACTCGCACCACAAAATACAACGCGGGAAAGAGCGAAGCATGCTCGTCCAGGTCAGGCACGTTTTCACTGTTCTCGTATTCCTGTACGAGCTCTGTGCACGTGAGGTTCTCTTCGTCCTCCCAGGTTGCGTGCGAGAGCGGATACCAGCGCCATTTGAGTTTGTACTGCACCTTGCCGCGGTGCGTCCTCTTGCCGATGACCTGCTCGACTTCGTATCGATCGCCACGCTCAAATCGCTGGTCTGGTTGGACGTCTCTGAGGCTCGGATCATGTGCTATCGGGTCGAATGTAGCCTCTGATGCTCTCCACATTCGAGCTGTCGGCACGGGGTCTTCCTGGAGGACAAACTCCTTCAAGACACTCTCTTGCCCAGGCGACAAAAATGCGCCCTGATTGAAGACTGTCTGCCTCCTGTCCCTCCTCAGGTCGCTTTCCTTCACATCAATTCCGTCCTCTGGTGGTGGCGCTTCCTCGTCTTCTGGTGGTGGTGCTCTCTTCAGCCGATCGACATTGATGGTCCTTGCCTTTTGATCGCCACACACACGGACCTTGTAGGTGACTGGTCCTTTCTTCTCCTGGACGATGCCGACTGTCCGCCAAGGTGAGGCCAGCTTTCTGCTGAGACCCTTAGGCACTTGATCATTGTATATGCGCACTCTGTCTCCTTCCTGGAATTGTCTTGGTGCAGGCAAATCCTTCTCGCGCTCAGCGGCTTGCTGCTTCTTCTTGCTCATCGTCTCACGAGCTTTCTTGTGGACAGCTTGAAGACCCTCTTTTATCAGCTCGACGGCTTCCTTGACGTCGATTGGCTCTGCATTCCTCGCGACCAGCCTTGCCGTGCTGCTCGGATGCACCGCTTCTCGGCCGTACAGCATCTTAAATGGCGTGAATCCCGTGGACTCATGCTCCGTCGTACGATACGCGTACAAGGCCAAGGGAATCACTTTGTCCCAGTTGGTTTGCTCCTTGTTGAGATACGGATTTATCCAATCCTTCAAGGTACGGTTGAAGCGTTCGATCAGCCCATTGGCCTGCGGATGCATCGGTGATGTTGTTGTGTGCTTGATGAGCAGCTTGGCCGTCACTTCGCGCATCGCCTCATTGACAAAGTGCGAGCCTTTGTCAGTGATTGTCTCATCGATCATCCCGTGCCTCGCTATCGTATCCATGAGCGCTTCGATTACGTCCTCGCCAGTCGGGCCGGTGCCAGGAGCCTTCGAAAACGTGTAGACTTCTGGCCACTTGGTAAAAGTATCCTGGACGGTGAGCGCAAACGACTTGTCATCCAGAGACGGCGGCAGAGCACCGATAAAATCCATCGCCACTTTTTGGAACGGCCTTTCGGCCGATGCTGTCTGGATGCTTGCTCTTTTGCTTGCCAACAGCTTCCGTTTGCTTTGGCACTTCTGACACGTCTCTGTATGCTTCCGAAGGTCTGTATACATACCAGGCCAATAGTATTGTTGCGCCATTCGTTTGTATGCCCTCTCGACTGCCAGATGGCCGCCGAAGATGTGCTCATGATGCAGCGTCAGCGCCTCCTTCCTCAGTGACGTGGGTACGAGGAGGACTGGACCATGCTCTTGGTGTTTCGACTCGATCGATACAAGCCCATTGTGTAAGCAAATTCCGTCGAGCCTTGGCTAGCGTCCCTTTGTGTATGCCCTGGGAATGGCATCGCGCAGCTGATCGAGCTCTTTCTTGGTTGCTCTGCTCTCTTGTGCCTTCAGGTATGCCTTGACGCGCGAGACCTCGGCACATTGGTCTTGGGCTTTCTTGATCTCATCGAGATAGAATAGCGGACTGGGATCCATGGACCTTAGCTCAGCCGCATTGATATTGGCGTCAACCGATTGCGACTCAACAGCGCCCAACTGATATGCCTCTTCGTCACTCGTCAGAGGTACGTGCTCAGTGTTTCCCTGCATGCCAGAAGGCCGTGACATTGCATCCACGTCTCCATGTTGTGCTCCAGGTCGGTGGCGAAAGACGTAGTCATAGTCTTGCAACATCTCTGACCATC